TTTCTTTCTTTCTTTCTCTCTTTCTTTCTTTTTTTCTTTCTTTGTTTTTTTCTTTCTTTTTTTCTTTCTTTTTTTCTTTCTTTCCGTGTCTTTGTTTATCTGTCTGTCTGTCTGTTTGTTTGTCTGTCTGTCTGTGTGTCTAGCTGGTCTGTAAGTGGATGAACTAGAATGAAAGGTTGTCTGATGGTCCAACATGTCTGTGTGTGTGTGTGTGTGTTTGTGTGTGTGTGTGTGTGTGTGAGTGTGTGTGTGTGTGTCTGTCCGTCTTTCTGTCCATCTGTCTGTCTGTCTGTCTATCTGTCTGTCTGTGTGTGTGTGTGTGTGTGTCTGTCTGTCTCTTTCTTTCTTTGTTTCTGTCGTTCTTTCTTTCTTTCATTGTCTAACATGTTTCTTTCTTTTTTTCTTTTTTTTTCTTCTTTTCTTTCCTTCTTTTTTTCCTTCTTTCTTTCTTTCTTTCTCTTTCTTTCTTTCTTTCTTTCTCTCTTTCTTTCTTTCTTTCTTTCTTTCTTTCTTTATGTATCTTTGTTTGTTTGTCTGTCTGTCTATCTGTCTGTCTGTGTGTCTGTGTGTCTGTCTGTGTGTCTGTCTGTCTGGTCTGTAAGTGGATGAACCAGAATCAAAGTTTGTCTGTCCGTGTGTGTGTGTGTGTGTGTGTGTGTGTGTGTGTGTGTGTGTGTCTGTCCGTCTGTCTGTCTGTCTGTCAGTGTCTCCTAATCTATCTGTCTGTCTCCTAATCTGTCTGTCTGTCTGTCTGTCTGTTTCCTAATCTGTTTGTCTGTCTGTCTGTCTGTCTGTCTGTCTGTCTCTCTCCTAATTTGTTTGTCTGTCTCCTAATCTGTCTCTCTGTCTGTCTGTCTCCTAATCTGTTTGTCTGTCTCCTAATCTGTCTGTCTGTCTGTCTGTCTGCCTGGTGAGCATGGTGGATGAACCAGAATCAAAGTCTGTATGTCCTTTTGTCTGTGTGTATCTGTGTGTGTGTGTGTGTGTGTATGTGTGTGTGTGTGTGTGTGTGTGTGTGTGTCTGTTTGTCTGTGTGTGTGTGTGTGTGTGTGTGTGTATGTGTGTGTGTATGTGTGTCTGTCCGTCTGTTTGTCTGTTTGTCTGTCTGTGTGTGTGTGTGTCTGTCTGTCCGTCTGTTTGTTTGT